TGAGATAAATAATAAAATGAAATATTAAAATCAAGATGTATCTCGTTGCATTGCATGAGTACCCTTCTAGTCTTATATAAAAAAGGTAGTAGAGATTTTCAAAAACTTTATTTCTTAACATTTACTGAAGGGCAAAATAGGAATATTTTTAAACCAAATGACTTTGTATGTTTATAAGTTGCACTCTTACAAAAGTAAAAGTTTATAAGAACATAAACCTAAATTGTTTTATAATATAGTATAGATAACTACTACAATTAGTAGACTAAGGGGCCGTTTACCGGTAAATTTTAACATTATTATTTACTTATCGGATAAAATTTTAGTTCACCAAAACGATATTGTATGCAACAATTTACACGGTAAGCGCTTACCATAGTAAGGGTCATCGCCCTCACTTACCGGGTAAGACTCATGGTCTTTGTCTCGTTCTTACCAGGTAAGATTCTTGGTCATTGTCATATTCATCCGGTGTGGTAATATGACTTGATAAACGCTTATCGGGTAAGTGTTTGATAAACGGCCCCTAATTCTGATCAACAAAAGGAAGATTTCATTTGCCAATTTCTACCAAATCCCCCAAAATAGGAAATTTAAATTGATAAAAACACGTTTCTATTCAAAGATGCTACAGACGACCTGAATTAAATCAAACCAGTAAATCTCATTCGAAAGTAGGGTCTAGAATGAGATATATGCATACATTATCTTTATCTTAAAAGTAAAACAGTTGTTTACGTGAATACCGTAGCTTGTACAAAGAGTAAGCAAAGTGGTATAGATTAAGAGTACAAATAAAGAATTTGAAGTGTGATTTGAAGAAAGATTACATGACATTCACCTTTAATCAAGAGTTTTGCATTGTCCTACTTCACATCAGTACAAAGAGGGTTGTAAACCGCAAGGTTGGTGCCTGGTTGGTTTGAACTTTGGGCTCCAAAGGTCAAAACTGTCTCAAGGTCCCAGGTTCAAATCCAAGGAGGAACAAAAAAAATCCCCTTGTGGCCACGAAGATTCAAATGCAGTGACTTCAGGCTACCCACAAAGCAGGTGGTCGCCCTAGGATTAGTCGACTCACATAACGGGTTGATATCCAGGCTAATAAAAAAAAGATTGTATATGTATAATTTTGTTTACATCTTACTACACCCACCATGAAATGGGGCCCAAGCCCCCGTCAGACACAAGTGATCCCTGCAAAAGTAAAATTATATTCAGTAAAACAAACAAACATGTTAACTTAATTTATAAACATCTTGATTCAGACATACAGCTTAACCAGGCTTAATGGAACACATGTTGCATTGTGCACTTACGTAGAGCTTAATCAGGCTTAATGGATATTCACAAATAAAAGAGGAGTCACCATTGGGGTGTAGAGTTAAGTAACTTACAATGATCTCCATAGGGGCAAATGGCTTCGACTCTTTTTGCTCCTTCGGGATTTCAGGGAACTTTACATTTTGAACTCGGAATCTAATCTGCAGTCGAATAGAGGAACATCGACAAATACTTTGGTTGTAAAGTCTCAAAGAATAATCTGCAAACGGGAGGCCATTTACCAAATGCTTACTGGTGTCACTTACCTTACCAGGTGAGCATGGCAAGAACAGAGAATCATACCCGATAAGAGGCATAGCAAGGAATGAGAATCTTACCTAGTAAGTGAAGGAGAAGACTCTTACGCGGTTAGCGCTTACCAACAATCTATTTTAATGGCGTAGAATGTTACCCAATAAAGAAAATGAGGGCGATGACTCTTGTTGGCAAGCACTTACCCTGTAAGTGTTTGGTAAAGGGCCCCTCAGTTTGATAAGAAAATGAAAGCTAGAGTGAATTAAAGAATACCAACCTCATCATATCCATCTATAAGATATTCCTCATCATTGAAGGTCCATATCCATTTGACTCGGGTCCTGGTGAGGAAAGGTAATAGAAGTGAGCTTGAGGTTCGTAGAAATGGTGAACTACATATTGGAAAAAGATTCTAAAACGGCGTTCCGTTCACAATTCTTTTGGAAGCAGGCAGTAAAAGACATTCGATTGAGGGGAGAAGGAATGTGGTCAACCCACGCGTTTGGTTTAATAAAACGGAATGGAATTGCAATTTGATTTCATTTTGGTTTCATGTTCGATCTAAGTAGTTATCCTGGTTTCATGTTTGGTCCAAGTCCTTTATTTGCTAGCATGATGATAAAAAAAAATACTAATAATAAAATAACTAATAATTCGATATTAATATAGTAAATATTTATTGTTGTTATTATAAAATAATAGTTACTATTATTATTATTATAATAAAGGGTATTCTTGTCCCTTATGAATTCCATTGGAACTCAATTTGATGGAATTGTTCATTCCATGGGTAAGGAGAAAGGAATGTAAAATTCCTCCATCCAACGGAATTTATCATTCCAATGAAATTCAGTTCCTTCAAAATATGTAACCCAACAAAATATAAAACCAAATGCCACTAGAAATTAGTGCGAACTCACGTGGTTTCTGAGTCGGGGACAGCACGGGAAGGCTCTGGCATTAGCAACTCCGGTATGTATATATCATCAAAAAATCCAAGAGATACTGCAAGTTATTGAATCAATGCTAGTAAGAAGATGGTATTAAGACTAAGGGGCTGTTTACTTGCGGCTTAATTAGGCTTATTGGTCTATCTGGCTTATTCGCACAACTCATTTGGGTTGTTTACTTACGGCTTATTCACACAGAACATGGCTTAATCGCACAGATAGAAATGGTGTGTTGTCCCCATTCGGCCACAAAAATGACACTCCTACCCCTTATTTAAAAGCATGGCCTCTTTCCCAAATGAGACACCCCATCGTCAACCTCTTTATGTTTTTTTGTTTTGATGTTCAAATAATTAATATTGGGGGGTAAATCGGTCATTTATGTTATTCAGACTGTTGATTCAGATAAAAAAAGTAAACTACAACACCCAATTATCCAGACAGACAAATTTATCCATATAGGACTTAATAAAAAATTTGGTAAACAGGAAAACAACCTGTACACACAAGTAACTTCTTAAATGACTTTATAAAATAAAAAACCCGGGACTAATTAGAATGAAAATATGAAAAAGGGACCAAGTTTTGATCAAGAAATGGTCAAAGTATGTTCTTGGTACTAATTAGTAGTGTTAGCCAGATTCAGATGTTACTAATTAGCTTAATAAACCATCCTCACTCAAAATCAGATATCTAAAACAAACTTACAGCGTAAACCATCGGCATTAGATTCTTTAAGTTTGGCAGATATAATTTCTCCAACAAAGGGCCGAAAGATTATCAGCCTAAATTTTACCTGCCAAAAGAGGTTGATATTCTTTCATCATAAACAAATTTCAAGAGCAATCAAACCAATCGTTTTGCAGAAAGAAACTTGTATCAATGTTATATTTGACTAAATTATGAAATATAACACCAAAAGTCAACCAACTTAAAGCCGAAAAATTGCTATTAAGAGAGAATCAGCAACATATAGGTTGGGTTTGGATAGAAGATAGAAATTATACATACTGTGTAGGTTGGAGCTCCCTCGTTGGGAAAGATAAAACCACCATCAATTGACTCGATATCGTAAACAGATATGCATAGCCCCAAATTTGCGATTACCTGTTATATAAAAATCATAAGCATCATTTATTTTCATGGGGTTATGATCTTAAATACACATATAACACAAATTGAAAAAAGAAACTAGCATTTAGGACCTTATCCAAGAAGAGACTCTCAAGCTCTCCCTTAACTGCTTCATTAATCGGAAGGCTCAAAAGATGAGGTTGCAATCGCAATGTATGCTCCAATTTGCTCAAGTTGAACATGTTTACACCTATTTCAGTAAGAACAATAACGACAACAACAACAAAACTTTCAGAGAATGATAGCAAGTTATGCCTATTTGGTGCTTTCATCATCTTAAACAGAATTTGTTATGGAAATAGAAAACGAAACCAAAACCACTATCACAAGTCTGGTTACATTGCACTCCAAGCATGTAAAAGAACCACTGCTAAAATGCCATACGACACGCACGCCAACTTACAAAAGACTCCATTACTAGTGATGTAAAATAGCCTAATGGACTCAGGTTAGGAATTCTTTTCGAGGAGAGCGGATTGGCAAATTGAATCCAAATCTTTATGGTTTTTTACTATTCAAAGAATGAAGATCACTATGTAGACTTCTCAACCAAGCCCCACCAACGAAAGAAAGCATAAGAGATGCAAGAAAAGGTTAATCAAGATAAACAACATCAAATTGGATGATTCATTAGAATAGGTTCTTTGTGAGCTTTGGTTGTGAAGTCATGCTTAAAATCATGCAAATAAGTAGATATTAATCACTTGGGTTGTAACGAACCGTTATGGCTCAGAGGATGTAGTGGAAAATGTCATGTTCCCGGTTCAAATCCAGGTGTTGACAAAGCCCTTATGGCCATGGATGTTCACCTACAAATAGTCGTTGAGTATAAGCGGGCTCTAATACCTACGGTTACCCCAAAAAGAAACGAACAACTCCAAAGATATTTGATAGAAATGGCATTGCTTTCAAAATCATTGCATTTAACTACTAAAACTAACAAAAATCAAAACTTTGGAACTTCATCATGATGTACTTGAATACGAAATTCAGAATCTAAACTTCAACTATTAACGAAAAACCAAGATAATCCGTCTACTTACTAACCCTACTAACCCAAGTGTTCCATTGATTCACCAAATTTCATGTATTCGTTCAAGTCACATTGCAGTATCAAGTGATTACAATTACGACATCAGCTCAACATTTGGCATAATCGAAGACCAAGTTCCTCTAATACGTATCTGCAATTACAATAAAATTAACCCAGAGAATAGAGAACTTACGTGAATCAACGATTCTTTGACTCCCTTTTCACGGCTGCTCCGCTCCGAAAACCCCCCAAAAACCCAGTTGCCCTTCCCCTTTCGATTCAAAGTTACTTTGTTTCATTTAAATTGGAGTAAACTACAATTTTAGTCCTTGTGGTTTACCCAAATCTATGAAAAGAGTCTATTTGTTTTAATTAGTACGAAAAGCATCCGGTGTAGTTTGCATTTTGCTTTCGAAGTAATCTTGATACTACACTGTTAGTTAAAGTGTCACCAAATAAAGGGTATTTTTGTCTTTTTATCTATAACCTAAAAATATATATTGTATTATATAACCCCTATCCCCTCACATTCCCAATGAACACCACCAATGGTAACACCTTTGCCCCCCATCAAGCACCAATACATCTCTCTATCGAGCAACACCATTAACTTCATTTCAAATTTTAAAGACTTAAATCTTTTCTTCTCAGTTTTCAGATTCACCGTCCTCCACAGGTTTGCCCCATAACTTGAGGGCCCCTATAGTGTCCCTCTAGTGCTTTTAGCTATTTCAAGTTCTAGTGAAGTCTATCTAGTTAGGGATTGACCTAAGATTCTGAACTACTACAACCTTTAAGTTGGTTATGGCCTCCACAAGAGACGGAGTTTTACCCATGGTTTCTTTCAAGTTATGTATCTTTGGATATGTTAGATTCTGCAATTTTGGTTTGTGAAGCTTCAAATTCTGCTTTTTCATCAAGTTTTTGTAGTTAACCAATCTCATTGATTGCAGGAGCTAGTGCATCTAGATCGCTTGCGTATGGTTTCTTGGCTGCCTCGAGTTTGGATATCCATAATCCATTACCAACCTTACACTGATCATGGATATCTTTTATGCCATGCTGGAATTTAGGTAGGATTTGGAATTTTGTTGGATTTTGAAAATTGGGTTTGTTGAATAAGATTCTCGAAGGAGATCATAAACAGGGGACGGGGTGGATGCATTAATGTGTATATTGAAAATTGTTTAACAAAAAAAAGAGGTAAAAATACTATAATGATCCTCATTTAATAGAGTTAGTGTCAACTATCAAGGATCAGTTTCAAAAATAATGCAGAATATAGTGATTATTTTTTTTACTTTATTGAAGCAGGTGCATAAACGATTTTCATAGTTTTGTAAGACCGCATGGACCAAAATTTTAGTTTACTCTTCAGAATTTTCCGAGTAAATTACATAAATCATCCATGTGCTTTACAAAAACTCTACCAATAACGATTTTAAATTAGAAATTACAGAAGTCATCCTCATTGTTTCAATTTGCTTTCACCAATCATAAGCCCCTAATGTTTGTTAAAAAGCTTTCCATCAAGTGCCCTCACATGTTAGCTATGTGAGGGGTATTTTGGTCATTTTACATGGGTTTTTTTTATATAACAAAACTAGGTGTACAGATGTTTGAAGCTAAGGTAAAAGTTAAGCAACATCCTAAAATACACTTGCCACCGCCAAATAAGAACTACCGTGTAACACCTTAAATTTAGTTATTAGAGAGATATCCGACCACCAAAACGACTAGATTGTTTAGACATGAGCAACTCCCCCCACATGACCTAAGTCGCAGTGGAGGTCGTGTGAGTCTACATACGTGCTAAAACCCTCTTTTGGCTAGGGTTTTGCCATTTTTCCTCCATATCTTCCAATTCTCTCCACATATTCGATTATAGCAACCTTGTGATCGATTTTCAGAGGTTTGTTGGAGTCAAGTGAAGTGGTTGGTTTTTGCTTAATTTTTTAGATTTAACCAAACTCTAGCATTTATAAGTTCATTCTATCTTAGAATACTATATACACGTAAAAAAATGTTCTTATTACATATTCTAAATGCTTTTCTAATTGGTTTCTTTCAGTGGCTGATGAATAGTTGCTCTGTGTTATATTTATGGTGTCTCTGAATTGATAGAATATTAAAAAAACACAGTTATTGTGTTTTTGGTATAGTTTTGAAAACATGAATCCAATTGGGTTTGATATTTGGATATTGCTTTCAATAGATGATGATTCCTTTGACCTTTGCAAACTTTTGGTTTATAATTTGCACATTTTTTGGATAATGCATCAATTTTGGGATAACCACATGATCTTATGGATTTTATTGAATTCAAATATTATTTAATCATTTAATACATTTATGGTATATTACCTAAAATCATATATTCAGAGTCTTATTTGACCAGTCATGCTATAAATCAGATAGTCGTGTCTTGATAGACGATTTTCATAACGAAATACAAACCAAAATAATGGTCTTCACAATTTCTAAATTTTAAGGACGAACATTTAAATTTTCCACAACTTTACGAACGAATTCTTTTAATTTACAGATAAAAAGGTTAAAATAAAATACAGTTTTTGATTTATTTAGAAAAAGGGTAGGTGTAAAGTATCACCAATTCAAAAAAAAAAAAAAAGTTGGATTGCTTGGTTGAGTTGATTTGAGACCTACCCATTTGGGGTTGGTGGCTTCAAACTTCTATTTTTTTTTTTTAATTCAAATATGATATTTTTTTGTATCTCTATAATTTAAAGTGTATTATTTAATATCAATGATTTTTTAATAAAATAATTCAATAATTAAAAAACTTTATATGATTTAGTATAAAGTGTCTCTTTATTAAATATTTCAAACATAAAGCAAATAATATTTTTTAATTATTTAATTATTTTTAATTAAATCATTTAATAACCGTCAAACAGTGCATAAATCCATTATCTTTTGATGGGAGTTTAAATAACATCGACTATCTATACTATATTATAAAGCATTTGGCTAAAACTCTTAAAAACTCTTAAACTCTTAAAACTCTTAAACCTGTTCATCCCTAAACAATTTCATCCCATAATTGAATTCGTGTAACTAACTGCAGATAAACACAATCAAATACAAGATAAACATCTCATTTTAAATATAAAAAATCTAAAATATAATTAGGATAAT